GTTACCATAACTGGGTAACCGATTACCATAACTGGGTAACCGATTACCAAAACTTTGAAAATTTTGGCCATTTTGCTCCTGACTTGGGGTAATCGGTTACCATAACTGGGTAACCGGTTACCATAACTGAGTAACCGGTTACCATAACTGAGTAACCGGTTACCACATGACAGTTTTGAAAATTTTTGTGAGAGAATAGATGGTAACCGATTACCATATTTGGGTAACCCGTTACCCAGACAGAAAACAATTTTAACAGATATTTGAGATTTGGCTCATGGCTTAGGCATTTGATCAAACACAAAATCTCCACACATTCAACACATGATTTTGCATAATTCAAGGTCTAGATTAAAATTACACAAGATTGATTAAGATCAACAATTAAACTTCATGCAACATCATCAATTTGTTTCATCAATTAAGCACTTTCACGTAAACCAACTTAATTCAATAAGCACTTAATTCAACTATCTAATTCCAGATTTACACATGATTATCAAATTGATTCACAATTCTAGGCTTAGATCTCTATTCTCAATTCAAAATTCAACCTATATTCAATTCATGCTTGATCAAAAAGTGCTTATCAAATAATCACTTATTTCAAAAAGTGCTTAATTCAAGAAAACTCACTGATAGAAATGATGAGGAGGCTTAGGTATATAAATCACAATGAACGGATCAACAATCGGAGAAGAATTGCTCTTGATCTTGACTTTTGGATCTTGATGAAATTGTTGTTGTGTTCTTGATGAAAAAGGTGTAGAACCTTGATTTGATCTTTGAGAGAATTGAAAGAAAATGTTTTGAGTGATTATGAGATTTTTGTGAATTATGAGCCTCTCTCTTTGAAAATTCATACTTCAAGGTTATATAGATGGGCCAATTGGACCTTGGATGAGGAATTGAGTTAGGCCTCCATTAGACAGTGTAAGCTCGATACGTATAAAAAGTGCCACATCATCATCCGTATGGTATCTCAAACCGACTTCAAAACAAAAAATGAAGATCATCAAATTTGTTACACGTTGCCAAAAGAACGGGCTCAATCGGATAAACAAAGACGAAGTTATGAATTTTTGAAGTTTCACTAACAGTGTGTCAGGCAAAATAATTTCCTGTGTAGTATTTCTATTGTGTCACATGCGGTACAGACCAAAAACGGAAGCCTTTGAGTCACCGTTTGATTTTGGAATATTAAGAGAAACTGTAGTAGGTGAAAATTGTGAACCAACTCCTATGGGCTCAGCTCAATATGATAAAAATCGAACGAGATATGAATTTTACCGTATCAAACATTAATACAAATGAATTTCGGTTCAGCACAAACATGTCTTCAGAAACTCAAAGTTCATGGGTCCTCCCTTAGTAAATCAGCTTTTGACTTCCAAAGACGACATCAAGATGACATCGAGATGGAATTTTAGCAATCAAAATCGCGCGTATATGATATTCCAGCCGGGAGTTATGTATTTTCTAATGCACACGAAACAACGATTTAGTACACTTTTCTTTGTATTTTTCACTGTATAACTTCCAAGAGAATTGCATATTCAGAGACTCTTCTTCGAGGATTAGCCTTTGGTACGAACATGAAAGTTGGAAAGGACATCTAGACGGTTTCAAAACTCTAATAATCAAACCCAAAACACCATTCCCAAATAAGAGATGCGAATTTTTAAACTCAGACCAGTTGAAATACCATTTTGAATTCGCACTACTTTAAATTTACCGAAAACACCCAAATCTTTCACAACTCAGCATGCTTTAAAAAATATGAGAGCTTTATTATGTTGATGAAATGATATGCATGCGATGTATGTGATGTGATGAGGGATCTTAGGGGAAAATTTGGGGTATAACGATATCCCTTTTGCATCTTGGAGTATTTGGACTTTTTGGACCTTAGGATAAGACCTTGAGACTTTGAGACCTTTGGACCTTGAGATCTTGTTGTTATTTTATCTGTATTGGAAAGTTTATGTGTTCAGGTGTTACTTTGAAATTCATCTAATGCAAGAATAATTCATTTGAGACATCAAGTTCATCTGATACAAGATTGCACCTGAGGCATTATTATTATTCATTTGATGCTTATTACTTCATTGTGTGGCTTTAATCCAAAGGAATGGGATGCATTGTTTTTCTTGTGTCAAGAGATTGCTCTTGTTTGGTTAGACCTTTCCTTCTTTAGCTTTTACTTTGTGCTTTAGAATAGTCTCTTCATCCTTTGACCATATTCTTTCATTTTCAAAATTTTCTCCCTCCTTTTAAAAATCTTCTTTGTTTTAAACTTAAATCACTTTCAATAAAAACCTTGACTTTGTCAAGTGCATTTTCAAAACTTTTTTCTTAATCAAATCATAATCCATTTAATAAAAGTTAAACCTTTTTCTCCTAAGACTAAAAAACATTAAACCTCACTTCAAACTTTTTGCCACTTTTGACTTTTGTTTTAAAACTTTTCTTAAAGATTGGATATGAGCCATCTCTATGACTGAGATATATTCTCTCATCTCCATAACCTTGATTGATATGGTGTTGAATCTTTTCCACTTGAAAGGGTTAGTAACATACATGTTGAGTTATCCAGGTTGGAGCCTTCCTTTCACTTGTGATGCAAAGGTTCATTATTCACATGTTTATGGATATTTAGTTGAGTATTATCCCTAAGATGACAAATAAAGAAATTCCTTTTATTATTAATATATAATTCAATATAAGTACCAAAAGTATTGGCCTCTAGGGCTTGCACCAACACTTTGCTTCGACAATATCTCAACCTCAGCTTGCCTTCACACACCAGACCCCTAAAGTAATGAAACCTCATCTCAATATGCTTGCTCCTCCCATGTGCAATGGGATTCTTAACAAGGTTGATGGTTGAAACATTATTAACCAAGAGTGTGACAGCTTCTCAAACGTTGTTGTCCAGCTCTCCCAACAGATTCATAAGCCATATAGTTTGGCACGCACATAACGATGCAGCGATATACTCTGTTTCACAAGAAGAGAGTGCAACCACCAGTTCCTTTTTAGAACACCAAGAGATTGGTGTTCCTCCGAATATAAAGATATAACCAGCCATAAACTTTCGATCATCTTTATCTCCGCACCAATTGGAATCAGTATAACTGAGCAAATCACATTTTATGTCAGTATCTGCTACGGGAAAGAAAATTTCGCAACTAGGAGTTCCTTTGACGTATCTTAGGATCCTATTAACTGTTGTCAAGTGAGACACCTTCGGTCTCTCCATGAATCTACTCGCATTACCGACACTAAACGCCAAATCTGGTCGCGTATTACACAAGTAACGTAATGATCTAACCAATCTCCTATATTGTTTTGGATCTACGTTTTGCTCATCATCACTTTTCGACAGCTGCAACCTTGCTTCAACAAGTGTATTGGCAGCATTGCAATGCTCCATATCACACATTTTCTAAATCTCAAGAGCATACTTTCTTTGATGATGAGCAGTCCCAATTTTGACTTATGGAACTCTATGCCAAGAAAGTAAGTCATGATTCCAAGGTCACTAATTTCAAACTCTTCCATAAGTTCACCCATGAACTTAGAGATACTCAACTCATTGTTGTCCGTGATTAACAAGTCATCCACATATAAGTAAAGTATGATCACATCTTTGCTTGCATTCGCCTGCCATGCTCAGAAACACATTTCTCGAAGCCAATGTTAACTAGGAAACCATCGATGTGTTTGTTCCAAGCTCTAGGAGCTCGCTTCAAACCATAAAGCGCTTTCTTCAGTTTGTAGACCCTTTTCTCTTGATTTGTTTCAACAAAACCAGGGGGATGTTCTACATAGAATTCCTCCTCAAGTGGACCATTCAAAAATGCGAATTTCACATCCATTTGATAAATCGATCAATTGTTGTAATTTTAAATGCCAACAACTAGCCTTATGGTTTCTATCCTAGTAACAGGTGCAAACACCTCATAAAAGTCTATACCTTCTCTTTGCAAACATCTCTTCGCAACTAGTTGAGCCTTATGCTTGACTATTTCACCTTTGGGATTTGCCTTCATTTTATAGACCCGTCTCACACCAGTTGACTAATTTCGTTCTGGTAGATCAATCAACTCCCAAGTACTATTTTTCTCAATCAATTCCAGCTCCTCTTTCACCGCACACACCCACTTTGACTCACTTAATGCCTCTTCCGTGCTAACGAACTCAGATTTGGCCATAAGCACAAAGTGAACGAAATCACCATCATCATTGATTTCGTTATTCTGGAATACTTCACAATCCTAGAGTCTCTGAGGCAAACCTTTTTTACCTAGTTGATTATCTATTATTTTTTCTAATTTCAACTTCGACATGTTACTGTACAGAACCTCCTACAATCTAATTTTCTGCATTTTGATTGTCGTAACCGGTTAAAGAACTAATTTAAAAATATCATGAATTAAAAGTGAATTGAAATTTGTAATTATTTTTAATTAATTGTTTGCATTTGTGTTAACCTAATTTTTTTTTATATAAAGAGACACTTTTTACACAAGGGGAGGCCACTTTTTCTAGCTCATTCACACTACACAAATTCTCACACACGTACAGTAACATACATATAAGAAAATCCCTTTTTGTTTTGACCAAAAATCTAACCCTTGTCCTTCCTTTTTATTTTCATTTTAGAGTCAAACTTTTATCAAGTAAAAAACTCTTCCTTTGTACATAAAAAACACCGCCACTTGAATATACAATTTATCATCATCAATTTATCAAACCAAATCCAACACCTTCACCATGTCAACAATATTATCATAATCCATACACCAACTTACATACTCAACATCACCACACAATTTATCACCTTCAATCACTAATTCAAACCATCACACAAACCTTCAAAATTCAAACATAAATGTCCATAACACTCTCATCATTCCAAAACAACACCATGTTTATACACTAATTATAACCCTGTGATTTCCAAACCTCTCACACACCAGTTAACACAACCATCTTCAAATTTCAAACTTCCATCTTTCTTTAAAAAAAAAATGAAACTTCACAAACAAAGTGCAACAACAACACTTCCTCTGCGCAACCAATAACAACACCTCTTCGAAACCAGATCTGCATCCGACGAGATACTCACCCACCATGAAAAGAGTAAGGAAAATTGGATCTGAAGCTCTTAGTCTTATATTCATGTTGTGTTTAATTTTCTTTTCAATTTTATTTTAAAAGAATAATGCCATGTGTCATATATTGATTGGAAACAAAATAACTTGGAAAGTCATATGTTCTCCAATTTGGAACGTGAGCCTCCTCCTTTAGGTTTCTTTTTATTATTATTATATCAATTGTTATTATTTATTTTAATTAAGATTTAAATTAGATTTTAAGATTCTATGTTAAATAGGATTTAAATTATGTGAGAGTGATCATTGGGCTTTGGGCTTGTTTCTACTCTTTTACTAACCACACCTCTTTATATTTTTGTATCATTATCAATTTAGTTTTTAATTTACTTGATATATAGTTTTAATCATAAAAATACAAAATACAAAATATGTATTTTTATTAGTCAGTGATCTTACCTGATCAGCATGGACCGTCACAACTAGCTTGAGCAAAAGTTGAGAGTGAGGTGAGGGTACCTGCAAGACACTCAGATGATAAAGTGAGTTCCGGAATGAGCAAGCAAGCAAGTGATTCAGAAGTATTCAATACCTGGTCCTCTCGTAAGAGAGGGTATTTATAGCCCCCAACACTGGGCCAAAGTCTCCTCATTGGACTAGTCAAGCAGGCCCAACATGGAGACTGCCAGGTCCTACGTGAGTAGTAGGGACCCACACGTGATCCCCTACCTAGATGACTTCCTCCGCAAGACCAGGAGGATATGGAATCGATCTTTCCGGGGCCATGAAGACTCCGTGATATTCAAAGGCGTTGATAGCCAGCCCTACGAGGAGTATGCTCGTGAGGTGCCTCTGCTCGTCGAGGATGCCCTTACTGATCGCGAGGTCGTGTGATAGGATTATTGTTGGTCGAGGAGAGGATTGGAGCGTGACCTCGAGGTCCTCCTGCCCGGTGGTGATCTTCTTAAGGGTAACTGGGTTCCTCCCCGTGTGGTGAGTTGTGTCTCCTCGACGGGAAGTAGTTTCTACCCGACGGTATCGAGGGCAGAATCGGCCAGCAAGGTTTGGACGACATAATTGGATTGGGCCTCAAATGGAGTTGGGTCATGGGCAGGCCCAGTCCAAAACAGAAGCCCCCCAAGTCATTGCTCCTGATGAAGGAGTTATGACTTCATGCCTAGTCTGTTCTTTTGCGAGGTGAGCTGCTCGACACAGAGCTTTGGTGGAGAATGTCGTCAGTGCGTCTTTTACTCGAGCAGAGTTCAGAGAGGGTTCTTGGTGGTGTTGTTCTAATTGTTTCTCAACTCACGGGGAGGAGATTGCGCACCTGTCAGCCACGTGGCGTGACCTTTGATATCGCAATGATGGCCTAGGAAATAAAGGTCATCATTAATTGAGCACGTAGGTGTCGGGGAGAAAGGCGACTTATGAGCTGCCCAACGCGATGTTTCGCATTCCACGTCAGCCCTATAAATAGCGCTTCAGGGCCCATAAGTCCCTTTTATATTTTTGCGCTCTCCCTTTTCTCTGCTGCCAATACCGTGTTGTCTTCTGCAATTATCGTAACTGCCGCACATTCCGCCGCGTATTCCCCATCTACCACCATCTTTCTTCATCAAGTAAGTATTCCTTCCGGATACTTTGTATGTAGACCGTTTTTGATGATGTTTTGGTAGTAGGACTTAGCGACTGGGGGTTTTCCCTAGGGATTTCGTGGGTTTAGGCGTATAATTCGCGATTATGCCAGGGAGATTCATCTTCGCATCGACACTTAGATGAATCTTCCCCGTGGCCTCCCTATGTCCCCACGAAACGCATGAGTTTTTCACTTAAAAATGTTGCGATCCCCGGTGAATTCATGAGTTTGGCTGACAATTTAATGAGTTTGGTCAGCAAAATCATATTATGCCCGCCGTACTCTTCCCGTGCCCGGTGTATTCACGAAAAATGTTCGTCGTTATTATCGTTGTGTGATCTTTATAAGACTGACATGATTTTCATGGGTTGGTCGGGAGGTATGTGTTTCCCCTTTCTGCGTGAATGGTTGTCGACTTGGTTTGGGCGTTGCTTAGCCTCTTCATCTGCGTCGTGAAAAGGTGAGTTTGGATTTTTTTTATTGAATTCACCGGTTTCCTCTGCTTTGCAGGTATATGGCCGACACTCCTGAATCGTCAGAGCATGTGGATAACGAGGAGACAAATATAGCCAATTTGGTCGACACAGTCGACGATCCTGCTTTGGATTGGGTTAGTGCAGAGCCCCGAGGAATAGCCTCAGCATTTTGTCATCCCGGGAGGCAAGCCTATATTGTCGTCGAGTATGGCAGCGACCAAGAAGGTTTTTAGAGGAACTTCAAAATCATGAGGCCGACGCCAGATGCCCGCATATGCTCGGAGTTCACCCATGATGCTTTCCCTATATACGAGGTCGTATTCAAATACCTGGGACTCCGACTTACTTTCAACGACTTTCAAATTGGGGTGTTCAATCACTTGAACTTGGCACTCTCTCAGCTTCATCCAAACGCCATTGCCTTCATTCGGGCATTCAAGCTCACTTGCCGGTTCCTGAGGATCGGGGCGGCCATTCCCTTGTTCTTCAGGGTTTTTCATCTGTAAAGGAAGTCCCGAGGAGGGAAACATAGTTGGGTATCCCTGAAACAGTCGAAGAGGCTGTTCATGATGTATATGGATTCTGTCCGCGACATTAAGGACAAGTGGTATATCTTGCAACTCTCCACTCAAACAGCCTCGGATTCCCTATTCGACCCGACTTTCGTCGTTGACGAGGATGGAGAACCGTGCTACGACGCCGAGGGTAATCCAGAGATCGGGAGTGAAATTCTGGAAACAGATACTTAATGTCACAGTGAATGTTATGACACCGTATCTGACACACTTCAAGACAGTAAAGTAAAAACAGTAAAGAACACAATCAATTGTTAACCCAGTTCAGTGTGTAACAACACCTACTCTGGGGGCTACCAAGCAAGGGAGGAAATTCACTATAAGAGATATTAATTCAGGAATAAACCAACCAGTTTATCTCCTTCACTTAAGACCTACCCAATGCAACTTCAATCTAAGTTCAACTTAAACCTGAGTTCCTACTCACTCCCCCTCAATCACAACAGTGATACTAAACTATTGATTAAAGAGATTATGAAGACACTCTTCAGTACACACACTTGATTTTGCTTCACAGCTTTAAAACAAGTGACACAATCACTCGTGCTTAAAAGCTTTGAGTAATAAACAACCCTAACTTGATTTTGCTTCAAAGCTTTAATCAAGTGACACAAATACTCGTGCTTCAAAGCTTTGAGTAATACACAACCCTTACAATCAAATCCTACTCCAAGTCACTTATCACAATGATAATTGCTTGGCTCATAGTAGTTACAACTATACAATCCCTTATTGATCTTCTGTCTAAAAGTGTCCCTAACCATTAATCTTCAAGACGAATATATAGGCAGACTATTCTTCAGTTAGGGCTTCCATGAAAATAGCTAGGGTTAGTTAACCCAAAATACTTGGTCTTAGACTTTCATCATACCAAATTAGGGTTAAGCAAGGTTAACCTAATGTCCACGGGAGCATCTAATCTGGACTGTATACATCAACTTAGATAAGCATACCAGATTCTTGAAAAATCTCAGGAATAATAAATCTGCACAAATGTTAGATCAGTACAGGATGTCTTAACATTGGTTATGACAACAAGAATCCTGCTCACTGATTTTGGTAGAATATACTGTATATGATCATTGTTTAATGATCATGATAAACACTTCAAACTGAGTAGTTCCTGTATGACATTCTTTTCTGCAGAATGTACCTTTATCCCAGAATGTTATGACATCAGTCATGATATTCGCAACTCTGGTTTTACCAAAAAAATGCCAACAAACAAACACTTACAAACTCCCCCTTTGGCAAATTTTTGGCTAAAACCCCTAAACAATCAGAGATTAGAATGCAACAGAAGTTTTAATAACAGCTACCAAGTCTAATTCTACCAAAATTACCACAAAATCTTCTCCCCCTTTTTAGCCATAAAGAGGCCAAAGATACTTGTACTTTTAAGTTATACAGTCATCCAAAAGGAATTTAAAAAAAACACAGAAATAAATAAGAAGTCATTTGGCAGCAACAAGTTCCAGCAGGAATCTTTTCACCAACACTGACCTTCAGGCACTGTCATCTTCCAAGGAAGCACTATCTTCAGCATTATGCTGGCCTTCATCAACATCTTCTTCCCTTATTTGTTCTTCATTCTCCTCCTGTTCTAGTTTAGCAATCAGCTCTTCTAGAGTCCTTTTTCTTGTATCAAGCTCTCTGGAGGTTTCTTTTAGCACAACTATAACATCAGTCTTCTTGGAATGAGATTTGACAGTTGATGTCTCAGCAGATGTCATAACAATGTCAGGAACATGTGTTCCCTAAAACAGCTTATAGTGCAAACCAAGAGCAGGGGCTCTTTTGCATACAGAGTCTTTTTCAGCCAGAATATAAGGATACTGAGCAATGATTATACCACACAAGAGAGAGGGAAAAGCAATAGGGCCTTTAATAGCACAGCTTCCAGCATGTTTCAATGTTTGATCAAAGATGTACTTGCCATAATCAAAGTTTGTCCTGGTTCCAACAGCATATATAAATCTTCCCAAACCTGTGGAGATGGTGGATTTATGGTTGGTGGGAACCCAGTTAGCTGCACCAATTTTGTGCAGTATGGAAAACTTCATGCTCAGCTTGCTTGCATTTAGCTTCCCTTTCAAGGGCCAGCTCTTGACTTACTTTGCAGTGATTGTTTGACAAACTTGGTTGTCAGTAACTTCCAGCTCAGGACAAGCATCATCAGGCCTTCCTAGGAATTTGTTTATTACAGAAGGAGAGAAATTTACCTTCCTTCCTCTCACATACACACTCTTAAAATCAGCTGATTTTCCATCAGCACAACCATCAGATAAATTTACTATGAATTCTTTGACAAGAATCTCATAGCAGTTGGTAAACTTGACCACAATTTTCATTAGACCAGCAGTCTTGATTAAATCCATGATT